CCTCCCGAGCCGTGCTTTCTATCACCGATGCGACCGTCACCACATCGGATCGTCGGGCAGCCGCAGCGCTCTTCATAGCGGTGAGGTCCGCCATTCTCTGAGCCATAATGCCGCCTGCGACGACCTTTCTTCCTCGTCCGTCGAGGATACCGGGGGCTCCGGCTGCTTCTTTCGTCGACGCCCCATCGCACAAAACGAGGAGCGTGAAAAACAGAAGCTTGAGCACCAAACTACGATGCACAACCCTTGCGCACCCTTGCAGTCTCCACTTGAAACCACCTTGCACTGACCTCGCGCACTCACTGCCTTGCAGCTTACGCCGTGCTGACCTCGCGCACTCACTGCCTTGCAGCCTACACGAGGAACCGCCTTGCAAATCCTGACAAAACCCTAGCCCTGAAACCTTGCACGCCCACTCCCTCACGACACGCACTGCACTACCTTGCAGCCTCCGCAGGGAACCGCCTCGCAAATCCTGAAGAAACCCTAACCCTGAAACCTCGCAAGCACACTCACTCACTAAGGTCCACAGGGAGCACAGCACGCCAACGCAAGCCATGCACCACAAGCTCACAACACTTATCATCATCGACCCAGCGGTCCACGACGGCTGAGCCTCAGAATCTTTCTTGCCACTTCTGCTACCACAGCCAAAGCGGTCAAGCTCACAGCGTTCAAGAGACTCCAGAGCAGCACCCTCACAGACCGAAACGGCACTACCACCGTGCGTCCTCAAGCTCCTCAGCAGAAACTTAAAAGGCGTGTACTCTAGGCTCTTCACAGACTCCAAAGACCTTTGCTCCTGAGCTTTCTGGGCTTTCTGGGCTTTCGTGGCTTTCGGGGGTTTCGCGGTTTCAGGCTTTTCCGTGGCTTTCGGGGGTTTCGTGGTTTCAGGCTTTTCCGTTGCTTTCGGGGACGACGAGGGCTTCAAAGCATCAACCTCCATCTTATCCCCAGAATCCTTCAAAGCAGCAACCGCGTACCAAGCGCGATCCTTGACAGTCAACCGAATGCGTTTCTTGTTCTTCTTGTTGAAAATATGAGGTGTGTTGGTGAGCATGGTGTGCCATCCTCTCTGCCAAGCCACAAACGGTGACAAGACATTGAAATCTAAGTTCGTGATCAAGCAATGCTCTAGCACCACCACAAGCTTCCCAAAACGAACGCGAACGTCACACACCTTCAACACTTCAATCATGTCGTTGGAGGCATTCGACAGCGTGGGCTTAAAATCATAAGTGCGAAGGACTTCATACTTCTCGAAGCAGGAGACCGACATGCAATGAGAAGTAGCACCGCTATCCACTAGCCAGTAGCTATCTTGCGACTCAATGCCAACTAAGCACACTCTGTGCTCAACGGTCACTCGGTGCGCCGCAGCAGGCACCTCAGGTGTCGAAGGAGTCGTCCTCAAGACGCCACCGCGGGCATCAACCGGAATCAACTCGCCAGAAGCGCGAAGGGCCATCACAGTCTCTCCCTCCGGCTCCTCTTCTGCTTCGCACGGGCGTGCTGCTTCTTGGTCTTCTTGTCCTTGCCCTTATCCTTGCCATGCTGCCTTTGCCTTCTCTTTGCCCTTTCCTTTGTCTTTGTCGCCCTGGCCTTTGCCCTTGGGCTTGTTGCCGCCTTTGCCCTGCTTCTTCTCATCTGCGATCCTCTGGCGGCACTTCTTGATAGTGCCCTTTCTTCTCGCAGTACCAGCAGACAATCTGGGACTTGTCCTTGGCACCGCCGGCTTTTCCTCCTTTCGCGCCTTGCCGTCTTTCCCGCCTTTGTCTCCTTTGAGACCACGCAAACCACCACTTGGCAGCTCCACCATGCGCAACTGCTCCTCGTCTGTCGGCGGCGTTCAAGCAGAGGTCGGGAAAACGCACCAGCTTTTTATCTCTCTTGGAGATTTCGTCCTCGAGGAAACGCACAACTTCCAGAGGGCGCTTCACTGCAGTCTTTGTGTAGAGCTTTAGCATTTCGTCTCTGATCCATGCGGCTGTTCACAGAGTACTGCCGGTAAAGCTCTCTCACACCCTCATATCCTGCAGCTGCATTGCTCTGGCGTGTCGAAACACTCCGGAGGATCTCCAATCCTCTGTCCCACTTTGCCCAAGCTTGCTGCAACAGGTGAAAAAGACGTGCACTTCTTCCCGCAGTGTCACTGGGCAAAGTAACCTGCAGGATCTCACCAGTAACAAGCACTGCCTTAGCTCGCCAACAAAGGCGTCATCGGTCAATGCCAGCCAGCTGGACAGCACGAACTTCTCAAGCTTCAAGATCCGGCCTTGCTTCATCTCACCAGCATTGATGAGAGGCAGGGGTGACAGATACCGAACTGCTAGCAGCCACTGCTGCAGGCGACGCTGTTCAAAGAGCAGCAAGAATGGCCCGCATGTCAAGCTGCGCCAATCCTTCTTTATAAGTTCCGAACAGCACCACAAGGCCAGAAGACTGCGCCAAAAAACTCCAACCCTTTCGACAAGGTGTTTAGGGTTTCATCGGGTCTTCTACAAGCCGGCGCTTGGCTGCCTGCTCAGAACGTCTCTGTAGGAAGGCATGGACTTCGACCTGTTTGGACCAGGACCCGTAGGACCTGTAGGACCTGTGAACAGTCCTGATGGGTTGCCGATAGCTCAGCAAGCAGCAGCGGCTGCACCTGCGAGTGTTCTGCAACAGTGCCAGAAGGTGTAAGTGGTCCGGCTGTAGCGCCGGCGGCCGGTTTCTCCGAGCCCTGCGTTGGGAGGTGAACAACTGCAGCAGTTGATGTTGCAGATGCTGAACAACCAGAACACGGCTTTACAGCAACAGCAGAATCAGATGAACTTTCTGATGCAAGCTCAGAGTGCTCAGTTGACCTCTTGAACCGCCGTTTGGACGAGGAAGAAGCCAGACGGAAAGCCGACGAGGATCGGCGAAAGGTGTCTTCGGACCCCTTGCAAGCAGGAACTGCTTGATGCTTGAGAGTTTGGACTGACAATGCTCGCTTGAATCCGAAAACATCCGGTACATGCACTCACGAGTCAGTCTTTGCTACTACCAGCACTATCTCGCAACTTCGGGACACAGTTCCGTGCAGAAGGTGTTTGTGTCACTGGGTCTGTGAATCGGCCAAAGAGCATGATGCAGAAAGTGTTCTAGCAGCTCCGTTGCTTCAAGATCCCACTCGCAGCCAGATTGTTCTGAAAGATAGACGCCACGTTTTGCTGCGAAGAAGACTCTGACGTTTTCCATGTAAGAGCACACTTCCCTATGGCAACACCTCCCTCGGCTGTCCGACAGACCAACTCCGAATCTGAAAATCCCATTTGACCTTGGATGTCCTGATGTTTTCGGCATGCCTGAAGCTGTGAGGAGTGCTTTTGAGTTAGGAAGTGACTGCACGTTCGTTTCGTCTCGTTTCGTTAGTGCTTGAAGTGTTTTGCTTGGAGACAGACAGCTGCAAGGTGTTTCACTGTCAGTCAGAGCCCGACGCGACCGCTTTGGCTCCAGAAAAAGACCGAGTGCTGCGCGCTTTGTTTTTCACATGGTAGCGGAGCTCCTAAGGACTTAGAAGGAGCTTTACAGCGCCATGGCCTCGCCCTTGCCAGGTGGGAGTAGTGAGAGTAAGTTTGCCTTGCACAACATTCTTCGTGACAAGCGCTTCTTGTTCTTCGATGATTTTCGCCAGTAGAGTATGCGCAAGAAACATTGCCGGTCTCAACGTTTCTTACTCTCTTTCAAAGGCAGCCTCTAGAAGTCCAAAGCTGTTCCAAGTCTTTTACAATGGAAATGTGGACTTCCAGTGGCACTGAGGTTTCATGACAGCGAAAACAGACGGCTTGTGGACGGGTCCGTAGCCTGCGTACTTGTGAAAAGTTGTACCTCTGAGCTGCCTGTTGAGTGGTGGAGCCGCTCAGTGTGCTGGGCTGCGATATGTATTCATCAGGCTGCTGATGCAGTTTGGAGTGCAAGCCAATTTTCCTGCGATTCCTGGAATTTTCTGAGGTGCAATGGTTATCTGGATATATTCTGCATGGTTTTGGTTTTGCAGAGGTTTTCTCAAAGCAGATTTTCACTGGGAGCTGCGGTTTTCATGGCATGGAACCTTGGTTTTCAGCTGCGAGAACAGTTTTCGACATGTGGCATGAGTTGCTTGAGCTTTTGAGTGAGATGAGTGAATGCTGTGAGCCGTTAGTCCGCATGAGTTCTCGTATGCGAGTTTGTTTGCCAGCGTGGAGCTTGTAGAGAAGCTGCGACGGTATGCTTTTGAAGCGAAGTTTTGTTTTGGCATGTGCTGAAGCACATGTGAATCCGGAGTGCCGCGCTTTATGTGTGGCTCAAGGCTGGAAAGCTTTGAGACTGAAGCTCGTTGAAAGAATGGGCCAATGATGAAACATGTTCTGAGGCTCATTAAAGCAAAGCTTTAGTTGACAGCAGTGCAGTGCAAGAACAGCTGAACACTTCGTTTGTTGCGCGAGCAAAAGTCTGTGCAGACCTTGACGGGTTGTTCAGGGTTTGTAAGTTTTACATGGTAGCGGAGCACTGTTTGTGCTCCCACACCATTTCCGCCGACCCAAAGAAGGTGTTATGTCTCAAAGGCCTTAGGTCCAAGTGCTGAGGCGCCAGCTCCGTGTAGTCCAGGTCTTGCTGAGGCTGGAGGGGAGTATGGGTGTGGTACAGCTGGGTGTGGGCAACAGGAAAGGAGGCAAACAGGTGTGGAAGGTGTGAGTGGTGTTGGGTCAAGCGATCCGTGGTTTACAGGTGTTCAGAGAGATCCCTGGGCGTTGTACGGAAATCGTATGCGTGCTGGAATGGGACCGATGGAGTCTCATATTAGCATGCCATGTCCACCTTCGAGCGGTACGCCTTCAGTTGCAAGTGCGTGTGCTGGCATTAGGCCAGTGGCGCCAGCCCCAGGTTTGTCAGTGCCTTCAGGTCCTGCGAGGAATCTTTCGACAGTTCCGAATCAAGGATGTTGCAGTCAGGTTTCTGGAGATAATGTGAGTGCAGGGAGACATCTGCTTGATCGCATGAGTTCGCGTGAGTTGCAGTCCTTGTATGCAGATCTTAGCCAAAGACTGAATGTCCCTGTGAGTGGGCAGTTTGTTCCTGAGAGATTGGGGCAGTCGCCACCTGATTTGAATGTGCCAGCTTTCGTGAGACATCAAGGTAACACGTTACCTGGTGTTCCAGCTGAAAATGCGAGGAGCAGTGAAGACAAAGACGTCTTTAGTCGCAGTGAGAAGTGGCTAGGGTCTCCACCTACGCCAAATCATCAAGCGTGGAAAGGGCGTGAATCTGAAGTGCTGGGCATGAATGCCTATATTCACGAGTTGGTTGCATGGGCGAACCAAGCAAGTGTTGAGTTTGGGAAGGAGATCGCTCAGGCCGCGCGATGGCCTACACAGATTGCATGGAACACGTTGTCTAAGAGTCAACAAGCGCGAGGAGTTCGTTTGTTTAGTGTGCTGAAGGCAGCGTTTGCAGATCATGGGCGGATAACTCTTATGATCCAAAGTTTTGGAGAAGGGCTTGACATTGTTGCAGTCGCCATGCAGGGAGATGTTTTTGGAAACTCTCTTTCGTATATGGGTAATGGTTTTGAGTTGCTGAGGCAGCTTGCCAAGGAGTTTTCTCTGAGAAGCCGTGCTGAGGCTATGAGTCTCAGGGCGATGCTGATGGCAAGAACGTTTCGAGCGCAGGACTCGTCAGCTCCAGTTGCTGACACAGTGCGTCAGATTGAGGTGGCAGTGGCAAGGTTTGTGCGTTTACTTTCGACGCTAGATCCTAGAGATGCTGCTGGGTTTCCTTTGACTGACAGTGATCAGCTTACGCTTTTGATGAGGTCTTTGCCTCAGAGCGCGAAAGCGTATACGTTACATCATTCGCAAGGTGAGACATATGCCTCATATCGATCTTCAGCTTTGCGATGGGAACATCAGCAGCGTTTGTTTCTTGAGTTGCAAGGGGCCAAAGGTTTGTTTGGCTTGCATGAAACCGAGTTTTCTGAGAGCGCAGGTTCGCCTGAGGCAGGTGAGGGAATGGATGGTCACGTCTTTGGCATGAGTGCTAGGCCTTCTGATGCTGGGAGCGGTGTGAAGTGCAACCGTTGTGGCAAGAAGGGGCATCAAGTGAATCAGTGCACGGCAGACCTTTCCAAGGTTAAGTGCTTCAAGTGCGGAGAGATGGGCCACATATCTTTGAACTGTGCCAAGGGCAAGCAGGGTGATGTTTCTCAGTCGAGTGCGAGGCCTAAGGGTTCTGATGGCAAAGGTGCTGCTGCGGCCAAGGGTCAAGTTTCTTTTTCGCCTAAAGGCAAGAGCAAAGGAAAAGGAGGAAAGAAAGGAAAAATGTTTGCTCTGTTTGATGAGGAAACGGGGGTTTGGTGGTACACAGATGCTGATGAATCTTTTTACACCGAGGAAGGTGATGAGCAAGAAGCACAGCAGGTGGACTCCACTCTTGTGTTATCTTGTGTCATTGAGTTAACTGATGAGCCCAATACGCGTTTTGAAGCTGTCCTTGAAGACAGCGAGTCGGTGTCTGTTGTGCTCCAAGAGCAGTTGTGTCAACCATTGTTGCAGTCGTTGGGTCAATCGCTTGGAACTGAGTTTTGGCTGCTTGACTCAGGTGCGTCATGCTGTGTTATCAACCACGTGACTTTGAAGACGCTTCCGCATGATGAGTTGACTGCATGTGGTTCGACGTTTATGGCTGCGAATGGGACTCCTGTTCCCTTTGATGGTCGTTGCCATGTTGTGCTAAAGGTTCGAAGAAAGGATTCAAGTGGAGCTACCAAGAATGGTGTCTGTAAGATCCCTGTGATGGTGGGTGACACTCCTTACAATATCCTGTCAACGCGAACTCTTGGAAGGCATGGCTGGCGTGTTGTCTTGGATGAAGGCGTTTCTGTGTGTCATGTGAAATCGGGTGTTGATATGATTGATACCTGTATTTGGTGTGACACGCCTTGGATCCGCGTGATTCCTCATTCAGAAGGTGATCTCTTGTTGCCGTCGGGTGACTCAGTTGATCCTGCTCCAATTTCCTCGATTGGACATGTTGCAGTTGTTTCGCAGAAGACCAAGGAAGATCTTGAAATTCACAGAGCAAAGGGCCACATGCCCTTCCATCCCGATTGCGAACATTGTCTGAAGTCCCGAGGTGTTACCCAACACAGGCGAAAGTCTGAGCGCGGAGTTGAAACAGAGATTGTTGCAGATTTTATGTTTCTGGACTCTTCTGGAGAGATGATCAGCGTGGCTGAGCGCCAGACAAGTAGCTCTTTTAAGGTCCTCGTCCTTCGTGAGGCCTTTTCTTCTTCTATTGGGGCTGTGATGATAACTGAGAACATTGCAAAAGACAGAGGTCTTCTTTTGAAGTGGCTTGCTGAGTTTGGGATGTCGTCCTCACAAGCAAGCATTGTGCTTTTGACAGATTCCGAAGAAGCGGTGAAGTCGTTTGTTGCAGGTGCGTCGGATAAGTACATTTTTATGGTGCGCAAGGCTGCGCCACAGGCTCATGAACAGCTTGGTGGTGCGGAAAGGACAGTCCGGGTCCTTAAAGAAGGGCTAGCTACCTTGCAAAGTGATTTTCAGTCGCTTGGTTGCGTTTTGTCGTTTCGGAGAGACTTGCTGCAGCTTGCACTTTCTTACCTGTGCATGAGTGTGAATGCGAATGGCAAAGCTTTTGGCGGTGAACGCTCTCCAAAGGAGGTTGCAGTTGGTCGAAGGTTGCCAGATACCCCTTTTGCGTTGTTTGGGTCCAAGGTGCTTGCTGAGGTCCCTGAGTCTGTGAAGGCTTTGTGCCCGAATATGTCGCGTTTTGAGGCGGCAGCGTTTCTTCATCCGCAATTTGGGTCGCTTGGGAGCTTGGTGTATGCGCATGTGCGTGTGGGCCAGGTCTTGACGCCAAAGGTGTTTGTTGCCAAGTCGATCAAGCTTGTGTTTCCGATTGAGCTTGTCTTCGAGTCGGGGATGTTTGAAGTTTTGCGTCGTCGTGGTGAGCTTGGGCCTGAGAGGCCAGATCATCCAGTTGCGCCTCGGATTCTTCCGAGTTCCCAGGGTGCCTCTTTGAAGTGTCCTGTTTCCGGTCCGCCAAAGGAGTTTTTTGAGAGGTATGGGTTCTCAGGTGAGTGCCGAGCGTGTTCTAACATGGCACAATTTGGGTCTAGGAAGGGCTCTTCTCACGGTCGGGCTTGCTGTTTGAGATATGAAGCGTGGTTGCGGTCGCAAGTTGCAACAGATGACAGCATGGACGTTGAAGTGCCTGTGGCTTCGGATGCAGAGGCTATGCGTGAAGCTCTTTCTGAGCTAGCCGAGGATGAGTCGAGGCAAGACCGAGCTGTGGAGGAGGCTCAGGGTTCTCCTTTGCCTCCCCCGGCCAGTGGGGACGCTGCTTCGTCTGAGGCTCCAGCGAGGATTGTGAGCGAGGCGGCCCCTAGTGGTCGTGTTTTCACGCGTGGTTGTCCTGCGTGCGAGTCTGGCATGAATGCTCCTGGCATTCGTCACAATGCTGATTGCAAGCGAAGGAACCAACATCTGAGTGTTAGATTTTTTGTTTCTGGGGAGCCCGATGATGACGAAGCTTCATCCAGGCGTCTGCCTGAAAATCTTGAAGGAGCTGCTGCTCCTGAGTCTGAGGGCATTGGGGCTCTTGATGAGGACACTGAGATGCCGTTTGCCGATCCAGTGTTGACTGGAAGTGAAGGCGGAGGCAGCCTAGAGGCTGAAGAAGTGCTTCGTGGAAGCAGTGCTGTGAAATGCTCCTCTGAAGTCCCGTTGGAAGATCTGGAGCGTGAGATCAGGCAGGACCAAGAAAGGGTTGCTTCAGTTATGGTTACCTTCCACAATTGCGAAACAGGGAATGATGTTCACATGCCTCTTGCGAGTTTTGTTGAGCAGGCGTTCCAGGTTTCCAATTATGTCCCTTTGCTTTCAGGGCTTGTGGATTCGGTTCAGTTCGCCCCGAACTCTACGAGTGTTGTTTTGCCGTTTGGGAAAAGGTCGCATTTGAGACTTTGGAAGCCTAGTTCCGCTGTTGATGACTCTACCTTGGGTGAGCTTTCAGGAGATCAGGTCATGGAAGGCATGGTCAAAGAAGTCAACAATTTGAGTCACATGGAAACTGGGGATCTGTTGACTGCTTCAGAACTTCAGAGTCTTGAGAAGAGGTTCCCAGGTACCTTGAAGGTCATCCCTAGTCGTTGGGTCACGACGCAGAAAACACCAACTACTGTGCGAGCTAGGATTGTCATCAAGGATATTGCTGGCAAGAACTCAGAGTCTGCAAGGGCTTTGGGCATTTCAAGTCCTACTCCTAGTGCCGATGCTTTGTTCACGGTTCTTGGGGTTGCAGGTTGCAGAGATTGCGTGATTGCGAGCGCTGATGTATCTCACGCTTTCATGGCTACGCCTTTGAGGGAAAGGGATGTGGTTATGAGGTTTCCTCTGTCAGTGTCTTCGGTTTCGGGGGATCCTTTGTATCTTCACCTCAACAAAGCCCTCAATGGGCTACGCAAGGCTTCGCAAGAATGGATTTACTTCGTAGGGGAGACTGTGAAGGTTTTGGGGCTTCAAAGTTGCAGCTTAGAGCCGTGTCTGTTTTCAGGCATGCTTGAGTCAGGTCCCTGTTTGCTGTTGGTCTATGTGGATGATTTTCTGTGCATTGCGCCAACAAAGGAGGATGTAGATCACATCTTTGGAGTGATTGAGGAGAAAGTTGAACTCAAGAGAACTGGGTTGATCAATTCTTCCAAGGATGGCGGTGGCACTTTGCGGTTCATTGGTAGGGTTATCTCCAGGAGAAAGGGGGAGTCCTCTATCACAGTGTCTTTGCCAGAAGATTATTTGGATGAGACCTTCAAGGCTTATGGTCTTTCGGGAAAAGGTTCCTCAAGTCCCCCAGATGTAGCGGTTCATGTTGAGAAGCTAGATGGGGTTCCATTGTCTCCTGAGGCGTATGCCAGGTTCAGGTCTGCGTTGGGGAAAGTAGCTTGGATGACGCAGACTCGTCAGGACTTGCGTGCTTATGTGTCAATCTTGGCAACGCAGCAAGCCACACCCACGAATCATACTGAGCATGGTCTCCGAGCCTTGCTTCGATTTCTGAAGAACGACATGTGCGTGGTTGTGCGGTTGCCTGCTGCGAGTGATGTGTTGGCTCCCTCGCAACACTACCAAGGAAAGAGGCACCTTGTGTGTTTCTCTGACGCATCGCATGCGCCTTTGAGGTGCAGTGGAGGAGTGTTGACACTTGATGGCTGCGTGATAAAGACTTTGTGTCGTCACCAACAGCTTGTGTCGCTGTCGTCTATGGAGTCAGAGCTGTTTGCGTTGCAGTCGGTTGCTCAAGAAATGTCGAGTCTTGGAAAGTTCATGGCAAGGGTCTTCATGTCGTTTCGAGAAAGCGAGGAAGTTGAATTGCCTGGGATACTTTACAGTGACTCAGAAAGCGCTTTGAAGCTTCTTCGCAATTTGGACACACCCAGGCAAAGCAGACATCTTGAGATAAGAGTCGAGTGGCTTAAAGCTCGTGTCGCAGCGGGTTCTTTGGTCCTTGCGTTTAAGAAGGGAATCGAAAATCCGTCAGACCTCTTGACTAAATGTTTGGGGTCCTCGGCTTTCGGGATACATCGCGAAGCGTTGGGCTTTGAGTCGCTGTCGGGACCACTTGCGTCTTTGTGCAATCATGAGAAGAGATTGGTGATGGTTGAAGTGTGCTGTCGACCGCAGTCGAGTGTTCAAGGTGCATGTCGCAGAGTCGGGATGAGTTACGTTGGCGTGACTGAGAACATGCAGAGTGACAGCGTGTTCAAAGAGGTGCGTCGATATCTTCTGAACTTTGCGTGTGACTGCGTGTTTGTGCATGTGTCCACGCCTTGCTCTTCTGGATCTTACTTGCGTCGGTTCTCTGGCGGGAGCTCGTCGAAGTCGGATTGGGAATGGTTTGAGGTGTTTCCTTGTGTGTTGAAGTACTTGAAGCTTGGGAAGCACTCGAGCTTTGAGCTGCCATGGAACAATGAGATTTGGCAACATGACTTGTGCCAGAAGGTGCTGAAGAAGGCAGGCCACACGTTCGATGTGCCGGTGAGGTTGTGCATGACTGGTCTTTGTTCGAAAGGGGGTGAGCCTATAGGCAAAGTCTTGGGTTTTACTTCGACTTCTGAAAAGTTTGTGTCTGCCCTGAAGTGTTTTTCCAACTGCAGGTGTGCTAAGCATGCAAATCTGTGGCAGGTTGGGTGGACCGAAACAGGTTTTTACATTCCGAAACTCGCTGATGCGATTGTTCGGGGTGCGATCAAAACGTTGCAGTGATGCTTTTTGGGGGGTTTGGGCCGGGCTGTTGGCTGGGTTCGGATTCTCCTCTTGACGCCGGTTTCTTTGCGGACGTTGAGGTCTGCAGACAAAGCTCCGTACTGGTGCTAGTTGTTTTTGCGTGTGAAACCTAGGTGCGAACTCGTGCTGCCATGGTTCTCACGACCGATGAGCGCAGGGAGCTGCGCCGTTTGCTGGATAAGATGGATTCTGCAGATGGCTTGGCTTCGACTGCCAATACTTCTATGACCGATGGGACCAAGCGTCTCAGAGATGTGGGTGGATATCCAGAGGATGGGTCTACTGCATCAGGTTCTGCTTGCGGTGCCCAGCTGCCGATTTCAAAGGGAAGCGCAAAGGGTGTCGTGAGCACGCCCAAGTGTTATGAAGACCTCGTCGATGCCTTCGATGGGGAAGAGTTTGGGGAGAGTGACAATGTGATTGTCGTGAGCTATGCGGGTACTGAGGTCACCTCGGTGCCACTTCCGAGTGATCTCTCCGTGGAGGATTGGGGTCGAACAATCTGCGATCTGCCAAAGGTCCAGAAGAATAAGACTTGGTTTAAGAAGTCCTATGCGGCCTTGGTCAAGCTATCCAAGGAGGATAGCGACCTTGCAAGCTATCTCAATTGGGTCAAGGAGAAATTTGGTCGCAGTTACGATCCGACGACCCCATCCAGTCAAGCCTCGGACCTTGCGGGGTATTTGATGAGGATTGGTTTTTCAAAGCAGAAGGGATTCCAGCGCAAACTGGCGGAGGAGTGAAATCCTTGCTGGATTGCGGAAGAGTTCTTTATCAATTTTGGGAGCATGGGTACATGTATGAGCGGTGAGAGCTGGTATTCTCAAGGATGCCTATGTGTATATTCACTGTTAGAAGTCCGTTGGGCTTCGCTTTGGGTGATATCCTTTCTGGCATGAGAGAAGAGCTGGCTATCTGGCGCGAGATTTTCCAATACCTATGTCTTCGTCGCTTCGCATGGGTTGCAGCGTGGCTACATGGTTGGCAATGTTTCAATGTGTGCTTGGTGTCGAGAAGTGCTTGTTTTGGACAGCAGCAAGGATGAGAGATGATACACACATCGAAAGGGGGGGTGTGAAAAGTTGTACCTTGGCTCAAGTTTTCGGCTCAGACGTTGCAGTGCCGTCGTGGCCAGCCTTTGGGCCTACTTTTCTAGAGGTTCCAAAGAGGCCCCAAACCCAACCACTACAGGTCGTAGGCCAGAAAGCTGGCAAGGGTTTGGTGGGCGGCCCGGTAGGCTGTACTGCACGTGCTGTGCCAGGCGCTCCGCCCGAGCCCGGCAGACCTTTCCCTCGCTGCGCGCACTCCCTCGCCGTCTGGGGCTTGCACAGTTGTTTCCAGACTGGCTTGCAGCTGGAGGTTTGCCTGGCTCCTCGCCCGAGGCTGAGGTTCCCTCACCTATGGGTCGAGGTATGTCGCAACGCGCCTACCATGTTTGCAAGTGATGTCAGAAGGCGTGGGTTTGGGTCGACGAGCTGTGGAAACACCCCACCTGTCCGGCCTGCCAGGCTCGGTTCCCGAAGGCTCCCAGCCCAGGTAGTGGTTCTTCCACACCGACCCAGTCCCCGACAAGGACCCCACGCAGGCGCCCTTCCCGACCCCTCAGACAGGTCACCTTTGACGACGAGGCTGAGGTTGGCGACTTCTTCCCAGACGACACGCCCACTCCTCGCCCAACGAAGGCCCAGGATGACCGCTCCAAGCGCAACACCCGCATCCTTAAGTCCCTTCGGAAGGTGTGGGCTGATCTCCCGGATGAGGCCAGGACCCTGGTTTTGAGGCCCCTCAGACCTCTGATGTTGATATGGAGCCAGACCTCCTTGCCTTACTCCAGAACAGCGGCTCCCGGAGTGCATCCGCCAGGCTTTGCCTCCACCCCCTCCTGAGCCCACCCCCGACCCTCTCAAGGAAGGTCGTGAGTCGGGTAATGCTCTCCGTCGTTCCATCTTGAAGCTCAAGCAGTTGGGACAGGAAAAGCTCAGGCTCCAGGAGGAGATCAACAAGACCAAGACCAAGCTCCATGACCTTCTCTGCAGGAGCTTCAGGAGGCCATCTCTGAGGCAACCGATGTGGCCAGGAAGTGCTCTGACACCTATGAGAGAGGAGTCCTTCTGCACGTCCCCAAGACTAAGGTAGACTTAGTTCTTGAAGCCTTGGGGCTCTCTCCCGAGGCCCTCACGGAGGACCAAAAGGCCAACCTCAATGCCCTTCGAGCCTCGATAAAGCCACCTCCGGACATGCAAGCTCCCCCTGGCCTCGGACCTACGCCTTTTAAGTTCGGCTCGGTGATGGACAGGCCAATGGTGATCTTACCGAGGAGGCCCAGGACGGATCTGCCGAGAACCCTGGGACTCGCCAGGTCGGCCTTACCACCCGGGCGAAGACCCGGAGCCGCTCACCTTCCCGAGTGCCCTCGGCCTCTGACGCTGCCAAGGCGACTGGTTCGTAGGAGGATGGTAGGGGTCCGGGGGCGGATTTTTGGGGGCCTCTTGGTCCAGTCTCGCTTCCCTTTGGCCCCAGCTTTCCCGCCCTTGACCCCGCACCCTCCCTCCTTCAGGTTCCCTCCCGCATACCTCCTCCCCTCGGCTTAGCCGTTTTGGAGCCTGAGGTTTTGGGCAGGTCCTTTTCCACTCCGCCGTCGGGCCAACTGCCCGTGGCTCAACTCCTTCCGAGCGAGGGGTACTGGCACACCTCTTTCTTTGAGGAGCCATCGGCCTCCTCCTCGGTTTTTAACTTCACTCTTGACGGCCCAGGTTCGGGAGCTTTCCTTCACCCTCAGGTGTTCGTTCCTCCCTCGGCCGGCTCTACCTCCTCCTCCCCTGAGTGGGTAGAGGTTCCACGCTCTTCTCCACGGCAGCCCCGGATTCTTTCTCTTGAGTCCTTGGTGGCGCCTCCCTCTCTTCTCACAGGGCCGGTTTACTTCCCACAGGCTTTCGCCTCGGACCCCAGCCCTGCCTCGACCTGGTGCCCTAATTTGGTCCAGCCCTCCGGCCCATCGAGCCGTCGAGGTGCCAGGCGTGATAGACGGACCAAGCACCGTCGCCACCGGCTCCACAAGCCGGGCCTATTCACCCAGCTCCAGGTCGAGATGTGCGACCAGGCCCTGAATCCTGCCTCCTCGGTTGAGCGCGACCTTGTTCAGTTCGCTTCTAAGGTCGAGGATGCTATTTCGTCGGGTTCTTCCGAGGAGTGGTTTTTGGAACATGCCCTTGATGCCATCCATGATGACACACCCTCCCCCGCAAAGTGGCACCTCCTCAAGCAAATGGCTCAGGTTCTCTCGCTGCAACATAATACTCCCCACAGCCCCGCTTCCTTCAGGCTCCTGTCTGCCAATGTTACTCACTGGAGGCCAGAGGTTCGGGATTGGGCCTTCTCTCTGGAAGGCCATGGGGTTCTGCTTCAGGAGCTTCACCTCACCACGGAGGCTGCTCATGAGGCTGCGATTGCCGCCTCTAAAAGAGGGTTCCGTCTCTTTTCCTCGCCTCCCTTCCTGAGTGATAAGAGGCGCCCCTTGGGAGGTTTCGGTGTCCTCATCCGCTCCTTCCTTAACCCTCGTCATGTCCTCACCCACACCGTTGAGGGTTGTGGTTTCCTGGCGGTCTCGCTTCGGTGTTCCGGTTTCGAACTGACCCTGGTTTCCATTTACCTCCAGTCCGGTACTGGCTTTAACTCTCCGGTCAACGCCGATGTCCTAGCTCGCCTCTTAGCCTTTCTTCCTTCCCTCCGGGGTGTGTGGATTGTCGCCGGTGACTGGAACAACCCCATACAAGATCTCCTCGCCACACGGCTTGAGGAAGTTTCCCATGGGCGTTTCCTGGGTTCCGGTTCACCCACCGCTGCAACCGACCGGGAAATTGACTACTTCCTTGTCTCGTCTCCGGCTGTTGCTTCCTTGCAAGTGGCTCAGGACTGGGTCGTCCCCTTCAAGCCTCACTGCGCTCTGCGGGCCACTCTTCAGCTCAGCTCTCTGCAGCTTCCCTACCCGCAACTCGCTACCTTTTGTGAGGTCTTTCCCGACCCTTTGCCCTTTCAACCCTCGGTCCCGAGCCCCTCGCCTGTCGCTGAGGTTAATCTTCTTGGCCTCACTTCCACCGACAAGCTCACTCTCGACTTCGCCGAGCTGAGCTCTTTCCTTGAGGTCTCTCACGGGTTCCCCGACCGAGGGCGTGGGGCTTTCGTCCCCCTTCTTCACAAGCCCCTCGTCCAGGGCCACTCTGTCACTTTTGCCTGGAAAGGCCAGCTCCCCTCCTTGGTGTCTGCCGTGCTTCACCTGCTCGACCGGCCCGAAGCTGTGCAGTCCTTCTTGTGGTCCACTTCGGACACTTCCCTCCCCTCGGAGGTCCGCGCCTTTTGTGACCGGGTGCGCGACGGCTCCGCTTCTTCCGCCACCCTCCGCGCCGAAGGCACCGCCCTCCTTGGCCAACTCCGGCGCGAGCAAACTGCCCAGCAATCTGACCAGTACGGCGAGTGGCTTGAGGAAGCTTCGGGTTCACACCTCGGCCCGCTCTTTCGTGCCATCAAGTCCCATGAGCAGGTGCTTGACCGGCCCTTTCAAGACTGCGATGGACTCCGCCGTGTCTTTGAGAGGCACGAGCATTGGGGCCGCGTCTGGCATGCCTCGGTCTTCCCCCAGCACTTTTCTCACCCTCTCCTCGCGGAGCTCCGCTCGAGGGCCGTCTCCCATGCTGGCACCCTGGCTCCCTTGACTGTTCCCAACCTTCAAAAACTTCTCAAGAAAGCCGGGAAAAAGAAAGGGGGCCCAGACGGATGGAGCTACCCAGCCCTCCGTGCACTGGACCCGGCGGCTCTTCAGCTCGTAGCCGACTTCCTCGCCCGTGCTGAGGCTGAGGTCCTTCTGCCCTTCCAGCTCACTTGTGTTGAGGTCGCTCTTCTCCCGAAGTCGGCCGACAAGGAGCGCCCCATCAGTCTCCTCCCCTGTCTGTGGAGACTGTGGGCCCGAGCCAGGTGGAAGGACGTCGCGGCCTGGACGTCGGCTTACGCCCCCGCCCACCCGTGGGACCGGGCGGTTCCGGGCCAGGCCAGCCTGGACACGGCGTTGGCCCGCCTTGTCAGGTCAGAGCATTCAAAGCTCGAGAAGACTCACATCGTGAGTCTCTTCCTCGACTTGCGAGGTTTCTTCGACTCTGTGAGCTATGAGCGCCTTCTCCTCCAAGGGCTCGCTCACAGTTTCCCTCCTCTTCACCTCTGGTTCGCCCTCCAGGTCTACCAGGGTCCTCGCTGTCTCGTGGCCGACTCGATCGCTGCCACGCCGCTCTTTCCTGGCCGGGGCGTACCCCAGGGCTGCCCCCTCCCACCCTCGCTTTCCAAACTTACCATGTCTGAGCCACTCCAGAAGGTTTCCTCCCTTCCCTCCGTCACCAACACAGACTTATGGTTGGACGACGTGAGTTTAGACGTGGTAGGTTCTGACCCTGTCGAGGTCGCTTCCGCAGCGCTTCAGGCCTACCGGGTTCTTCACGCCTCCCTCGGCCTTGAGGGCCTAGAGGTTGAGACCACAAAGACCAAGTTCGTTGCCGGTACGGTCCGCGCTCGCGCCGCGCTTCAGCAGCTGCGGCGCCCGGGCGAACCCGACACCGCTGACCTTGTCAAGGACCTAGGTCTTGACTGCGCTGCAGGCCGGCGGCGGCGCATCACCACCGCCCAAAAGCGCTTTCGCACAGGCATCGGTCGTGTCCGCCACATGCGCCGCCTCCGCATCCGCCGCACGTGGGCTGCTCCAAGCCTCCGCCCTCAAGGCTGGTCTTTATGGCCACCAGGCCGTTGGGGTTGCCCCTAAGCGCCTCAAGGTTTTACGCTCGGCGGTTGCGCGCGAAGCTGGCCGTTTTGAGCACGGCTCCGCCGACGTGATTCTCGACCTCATGTCCCACAAGGCCGTTGACCCACACCAGCTTGTGGTAGTGGAACAGCTTCAGGCCCTTGGGCGACTTGCCTCCAGCGCCTCACCCGAAGGCGTGCGGTTACTCACCCGCACTTGGGCCTCCTCCTGGTCCAGACAGGCCTCTGCCACCCATGGGTGGAAAATCGTGAACGGTCCCGTGTCCGCGCTCATCCAGTACTTGCTGGACTTGCGGGTGTCTGCCCCTACCCCTGAAGTCTGGACACACCGCGAGGCTACCTTTCACTTCCGCTTCCGCGAGCCAGGAGCGGTTTTTGAGGCCTCCGCTTTCCTTCGCCAGGTCATTCAGCTCGAGCGCTGGTCCCGTATTGGCGCCGTCTCCACTGCCGCTGGTGCCGCCCTTGGCATCGATTGGACCGTGCCGCGCCGCCTCTTAGCCAGTTCTCGGACGAAGCCCTGGCGGCACGGCCTTAGGGCCGTCTTTCAAGGCGCCCTCCTCCACTCGGGCAACGGAGGGAAGGAACGGTGCAAGTTCGTGGAGAACCCAACACTCTGCACCACCTCCTCTACGAGTGTGAGAAAGTCCCAGGCGCTCTTATGCCCGCAGGCTGGCTGTTGTCTTATAAAAGGCGCCACCCTGCCGAGTGCCTCTGGTTGCGCGGGATGCGGCCCCTCAACACCCGCGATCCCCTCGCCCACGAGGCTGAGGTCCGCCGCACTGGTCTCTTCCTCGAAGGCACCCCGGACTTAACTGGGCTTTTCGTTGCTACCGACGCTTCCGGTGGCCCTGCCACCAAAGACAGTCGCCTCCGCTCGGTCGGTTGGGCCGTCATAGTCGCTAGCAGGCACGATGGCGACTTCTCTGTCCTTGGCACCCTGTCGGGGCTCTTGCCGGCCCCCGCCTCCGTCCCGGAAGGCGAGAGTGAGGCTATCGCCCAGGCCCTCCTTTCCTCTCGAGGCACCTTCGACCTCACCTGTGACTGCCAGCCTGCCCTCCGGAGCCTACAAGGCCCCTTTACCAAGCGCACCTCGCTTGTGTGGTCTAAGGCGTGGGACCAAAGGCACAGAGCCGAGCCCCACTGGGTCCGCTCCCACCTCAACTCCTCGGACTTTTGTCTTGAGTTCGGCGCTGATGCCTTGTGGCGCCGCGAGCTCAACTCCCTGGCAGATAAGCTCCTTAAAGACCGCGCTGAGGAAGTCTAGACTCCTCACCGCCTTGCCGCCCAAAAGGAGGTTGACCGGGTCACCTCCCTCGTCTGCGAGTACTTGGGCCGTCGCGCCGCTGCAATTCTTGCCAAGGCCGAGAAAGAAGACTTTGTCCCGCGGAAGAACCGCCTTCTCTCCGCTCTTGAGTCTTCCGCTTCTCCCTCGCCCAACAAGAGGCAGAGGTTGCAAGCTCTTCTCGACGAGCCCCTTCTTCCAGGCGGGCACGTCTGGACCCAAACCTCAAAAGAAAAGAGCTTTAACCTGTGTGTTAAGTGTTCTGAGTGCTCCTTGTGCATTTACCAGGTTGACACACCGGAAACCTTTGAGCGCCTCATTTCCTTCCCGTGCCGAACGGCTGCGGTTTCGTGCCCTTTTGCTGCCCACCCCTCGCACTCCCTCGTGCGTCAGGGGCCGTCCTGGAAGTGCAGCCAATGCCACGGTCACGTGACTCTGCGAATGGGCGCCGCGCCAAAAAAGCTCGTAGCGCCCTGTGCGCTTCCTTCGGTGCGGGGTTTCTTTTCTAAAGGTTCCTCCCCTTCTGGGCCCCAGGGTTCCCCTCCTGCCTCTGCTGCTGCCCCGGTGGTTCCCCCTGTGCCTTGCTCTTGGGGTTCCCCTCAGGGTTCTGCGCCTGCTACTGCCCTCACTTCGGTTGAGGTCCTAGCACCCAAGGCTTCCTCTCCCCTCGAAGGCTCTGGGTCCCCTTCGGAGGTTTCTCAGGCCCAGGCTTCCTCAAGCCTTGGTTCGTCACGTGAGGCCCCGGCTTTAAAGGCTCCAGGTCCTGCTCCCAAAAGCACCCCGCCTCCAAGCCTAAACCAAAGCCCCGGCCCAAGCCTAAGCCCAAGCCTCCCCCTCCCTGTCCTTCAGTTACCAAGTTCTTCCGCTAGCTTCGGCTCAAGGAGGGCACCATGGCGCCCAAGGGCAAGGGCCGCCACGCTCGCGAGCAACAGGAGCGATGGGACCAGACAGGGATCTGGCGCAGCACAAGCTCCCTGTCCAGACGCAAGTTGCGTCCGGACAAGGCAGCACGCGCTAAGGCCAAAGCGCGCCAGGAGCAGGACCGCGAGAGGGTCCAGGCCAACCCGCCTCCCGCCCCTCCACCTGCTCCTCGCCGAAGGGCTGAGGTAGACGACGACGACGACCAGCCTCTTCCCTGGTCACGCCGCGTGACGAACCGAACGACGGCCAGCAAGTCGTCGGGCTCTGCCGGCCCTTCGCCCCCTGTGGCTGAGGTTGCAATGGAGGTGGAGTCTGCTGACTCCTCCTCGTCCTCCTCCTCACAGCCTGCCCCAGCGGCAGCGGCGACCAGGCCGGCCGACAACCCCCCCCCCGTCGCCAAGCCCAACCCCCCCCGCCCCCCCCCGCCAAAGCGCAAAGATCCGGATGTGCTTTATCTCGAGATCGAAACAAGGCGGGGGGGGCAGGGCGCTTGGCATCGCCTCACGCTCAACCCACTCTCTTCGTTGCAGTTTCTCCTCGGAGAAACGTCGCGACTGGCAGGTTTTACCTGCCGCAGCGCGAGAATATGGCCGGACGGTGGGTTCCTCGGAACCCACCGGGCCGTAGGATCGCAACTCCCGCCAGGAGTTCGATGGTTGCTCGTGGACGAGCATGAGATCGCGGCTCACGACAGACCGCATCTCGCGGTGCCGCCCTCGCCCCGTGGCTGAGGTTCCCCAACGAGCGGTGGCACCCGAGCTCCCCCCAGCAACCTCCTCGCCTCCGGCTGAGGTTTCCCTCCCCTGTGCTGCTTCCCTGGCCACACGTGGGTCTTCCCCGCTCCCGGAACCAACTGGTCCTCCGATGAGCTTTCACCCCCGTAACCGTGGGCCTTTTGCACCGGTGGAGCCCCCAGCCACTGCAGGAGTTGCTTCCTCAGCCCGGGCCAGCTCTCGGCCCGCTGCCCCCTCCCCGGCCCCTCTTCGGCAGCCCTAGCAAACCAGGCCTCCCTGAACAGGGCACCCCTGCCTCCAAAGCCACAGCTCTTCGGAGAACCCTGGGGTCAAGCCCTCGCCTCTGGCTGAGGCTGCAGCCTCTGCTTCAGTTGGCCATGAGCCACACGCCACCGCTGCTTCGGCAGCTGCAACCCCTAGCGCTGTCTCGACAGCTGGAAGTGGTTTTCTTGAGACCCTCGCCTCCTTGGCTGAGGTTTCGGGTCTCTCCACGGCCCCGCCGGACCCTGCAGAGCCAGGTCTCGAATTCAGCGAGAACTTTCTCCGCTGTTTTGCATGCGGGGTCACTACCTCCAATCAACAACTGATGGAGGCTCACGCCATGACGGCGAGGCACGTCCGCCTCACCACGGCCAAGCGAAGGCGTGACCTGGCAGCGGCAAAGGCTGCACCTCTGGCTCCTTCCTCGCCTTTTGGCTGAGGTTCGACCCTGCAGCGGTGCTTGGGAGTGCCCAGGGCATCCCTCGGTCCTTTCCTCGCCTGTTCGGCTGAGGTCTGCTCCTGAGGCAGCTTGCCCGGGCCCCGGTAGAACCCCGCCTGTACAGTCTTTGGTAGGGCCTACCCCTCGTCTGAAAACGACTGAGGTTGGCGGGTGTAACTAGCCACCTGTAGTCCAGGACGTAGGGCCGCCCTTGCCCAAAGTGGCTGAGGTTCTTCTCACTTGCATGTGAATTCATCTTTCGGACTCGTCTATGACGGCTTGCAGCCCGGCGAAGAAAAGTTGTACCTCTGAGCTGCCTGTTGAGTGGTGGAGCCGCTCAGTGTGCTGGGCTGCGATATGTATATCATCAGGCTGCTGACTGCAGTTTGGAGTGCAAGCCAATTTTTCCTGCGATTCCTGGAATTTTCTGAGGTGCAATGGTTATCTGGATATATTCTGCATGGTTTTGGTTTTGCAGAGGTTTTCTCAAAGCACTGGAAGATTTTCACTGGGAGCTGCGGTTTTCATGGCATGGAACCTTGGTTTTCAGCTGCGAGAACAGTTTTCGACATGTGGCATGAGTTGCTTGAGCTTTTGAGTGAGATGAGTGAATGCTGTGAGCCGTTAGTCCGCATGAGTTCTCGAAGGCCTCAAGGTACCTTCTCGAACAGCTGTAGTGTATGCGAGTTTGTTTGCCAGCGTGGAGCTTGTAGAGAAGCTGCGACGGTATGCTTTTGAAGCGAAGTTTTGTTTTGGCATGTGCTGAAGCACATGTGAATCCGGAGTGCCGCGCTTTATGTGTGGCTCAAGGCTGGAAAGCTTTGAGACTGAAGCTCGTTGAAAGAATGGGCCAATGATGAAACATGTTCTGAGGGCAAAGCTTTAGTTGACAGCAGTGCAGTGCAAGAACAGCTGAACACTTCGTTTGTTGCGCGAGCAAAAGTCTGTGCAGACCTTGACGGGTTGTTCAGGGTTTGTAAGTTTTACAGTACTGGTGGAAAAGTGGATTTTGTAGAGTGTTGCCCATGTACAAAGCCCTTCTGCGTTGCCTCTCCGCCTCCCTGCATTTCAACAATGTCCTGTGCTCGAAGGTGCGTGTCGTCTGCTTCCAGAGGGCTTTGCGGCCGTGCTGCTTAAACATTGACATTTGAGGGAGAGGGAGAGGTGCCGCGGTGGCCTTTTCGTGCGTGGCTGAAGCAATGCATATTCCTCATCCAAAGCCGTCCAAAGTTCGAAAAAAATGGCTTGTGCCAAAAACTGCACATACCGTGCAGTGGAGGTCTGGATCCTTTTTTTGGTCTAGCAGTTCCTATTAGAAAGTGAGGCGAAGATCCCGAAATGCCCAGAAGCAGAATGCATGATTCCTGATCCAAAGCCGTGCAAAGTTCGAAAAAAATGGCTTATGCCAAAAACTGCACATACCGTGCCTGCAGGCCGGGAGTTTGCCCAGAGGCGTTTTGTGTAGGTCGCTTGTTAGCAACTCCTTGCGTGCATCCCTAAGGAAGCTCAAAGGGAACGCTTCCCTGAAACCAAGACCGTTGTTCCAGAAGTTGCTGTCAGCAGCTCGCTATCAAAGAGTCGAGCAGCTGCGTGCGCGCAAAGCACTGTCGACATTTGCAGCGATGGTACTCTCGTGTGTGAGCTCCGGTCTGCTGTCAGATACGCAGCATGAGGCCCTCAGTGCGACCTGCTTTGTAGGGCCATGGCGCCGAAAGCAAAAGCAGCGCCAAGAGCAGGAGCTGAGGTGCCTCTTGTGTGCGTGTGTGCTCTAGATTCACTGTTTGGGGCGCGCCGGTCAAGGGGCCGCAAGTAGCACCAAAGCTACCAACGGGAGATGAGGCCAAGGGCCGCTTTGGGGGACCCACGTTTTGGGGTGCAGGAATTGCAGCGGCGGAAGGTCCACTAGTAGGGGCCGCTACAGTGAGCCAAATAGTAGCTGCCAGGGAGCGACGCCACAGCCCACAGCATGTCATGAGAGTCCACTGTTTGCTCCGTGGCACCCTGCGGGATTGGCATGCGACCTAGTACGCTGCGGGCATGAGGCTCGGCAAAGGCGGCGTATAACCGTGTTGGTGGGCGGACTCCTTTGCCCTGCCAATCCCGCAGGCAATACAACTTGAAGCCAGGACCCTCATCGTCTATGTCTAGTGTCACCGCATAAGGGTCTGTGGTGTCAAAGAGGGGGTAGAAGAACGTAGATTCCTGTGGTCTGCCCAGCCTGCCTGTCCATGTTCGCTCAGCTCCCCGCAGGTGGAGCTGAGCTCTATGGTGGCCGCCGCCTTTGTCAAAGACAACAACCAAAAGGGCTGTGGCTTCCTCCAAGGCGGAAATGACCGCAGGTGCCACAGGCTGTGAAAAGACTGCACTGTGGCCTGATCGTCTCGGATGTCCTGAGCCCAGTTGGGGGGGAGCCCCTTACGTTCACTAGCGTCCGGCCAACGCAGCAAAGAGCCCTCAAGCCTCGCGTGCATGCGCGCAGCTGCAAGGAGGCCCGAGGCATGTGCTGGCGAGACAACTAGAAGTGGCCCTGTCCCTCTCGTGAGCGCTGCCGTGATTCGTTGGTGTGCTGCCTCCCCACATTCCGTGAATTCGCCCGCACGATCCACCATACACAGATTGACAGCTCCGGTAGACCCCGCGCAAGCTGTGGCGGAATAGAGGTCGATGAACGGCCCAAGCTCATGCCGGCGGCTGAGAAACTGGAAGACCTCTGTGGCCTGCGCAGTCGTATGAATGTCTTCCGGCCGGGGTAGTTCAGGGTCCAGTTCTCTGGCCCACTCCATCCAGAGTTTGCCCTGCTGCTGGTTGTTGGGCTGTAGTTGCTCATTCTGGTCTGTTAGCCCTGCGTTGCTCAGACCCACGAATGTCTGGAAATCTCCAGTTCCGCTATGCCTCATACAGTGAAGTGAAGAATTTCCTCAACTCGGCACATGTCATTGTCATCGACGAAGGGCAACAGGAGGGGCAGCCCTCCTCGGCTGCCATTCTGGCCAATGCAGAGGGCCAGCTTGTCATTCGCACCGGTGACCCCCGACAGCCCGCTGGAGGAGGTAAAGGTGAGGCGCAACTGCGTACCCTGGCCCGCCTCATCGCCAAGCCTGGTTGCATCCGTGGAATTGCTCAGCTTGCCCCTTAACCCGTCTCTCCGGGGCGGCTCGCCGCTGCACTGCGTGGTTTGGTTCACTCCACCTCTCCGGATGGGCCGCACAGTTCAGTGGTCCAGCCTTGGATGAATTCTATGCACTGTGGTCGGTTAACCGCATTCCACCGCTCTGTGATGCTACAGTTGCGGCCTGGCTGGTTACCCGGTCCAGTTACTCCTACGGGGCATGGACTTTGAGCACAGCGGACCTAGTGGCCGGTCCATCAAGGCGCGCCCTTTCTACCCGGTGATCGACACCGATCGACCGGTCTTTGGATTGCTGGAGTTTACTTCGCCGCCTCGTTTCAGTCTCCACATCCTACGAGAGCACAAGGGAGTTGGCGTGCCTCCACCCAAAAGATTATACAGTGCGCTACGTTCCAATCACCACCGGACTCTAATAGGGGGGCACTTGTACTTCGACCCGCCTGCAACTGTATGTCGAGGCCAAGCAGATTCCGCGGAATCGCTGGTGACATCCGTGCCGGGGGCGTTCTACCTTTACTCTTGCGGCCGATACTATTAAGGGGAGATTACAGCGGTTCGTGTCTTCACAAATGCGCCATCCCAGCTCCTCCGCCATTATGCTGCCACCCGTTGCTACTACGGGCCTACCACGTGCCCTTTATGATCCGAGGGGAAAGGTCCGTCCGGACCCGGACGCAGGCACCCCTGTAAAGGAGGATCCTGCATTGCTGCGGAGCTGCGCAGTCAAAGTTGCGCTGCCTCCCTCCCTGCCGCCCCTAGAACTGCATGGCCCCAACGTGTGGCGGCTCTGCTGAATGCGGTGGAGACTCCGCCTAATCGCCTAGTGCCGGGAGTTACGTCCATTGCTAGCCGGTGTGTACCGGTAGAAGACGAGGAGGAATTTGAAGAACAGCATGATACTCTCCGCCGTTACCAAGCCCGAGGCAACCAACAGCGGCCTGTCGAGGGAGTGGACTGCGCAGGCGCGCTACAACATTTACTCCCTAATCCCACCGATTGTCTTACCTTGCTTTCTCTTCTCCTGTCTCTGCCCGCATGTGAAGTCAAAATCAGCCCCCAGAATTTTGGGGTGAAGGTTGTAGACTTCGCTGACCGGGCACTCATGCTACGGCGCTGTACTGATGACGAAGCATTCCGCGTCTGCCTGACACCCATGCTGGCAGTGTCCGTCGCACTTGCACAGTTCTGTGACCCAGTTCTGCGCCTACCTGAAGGACGAGTTTTCGATTTGTCCTGGTATGAGCTTGCCCGGCCTGAGATTTGGTGGTGGCTGCTTTTGGATGAGCTTGCTGGGCTCAAAGGATCGCTCCACTGTGCATTGGAAGGACGGAAATCCCCTGTTCGGGACGGCAGTTTGGTACAGATGAGCTTGGCTCCCAAGCGAGGACATCTCCCGGCAGGCAACCGACGTGGCCCCGGACAGAGCCATCGACACTCTACTGGGGATAGCGGCGCGAGCCTCGACTCGAACCAAGGGACCCCACTGCTTCACTGCGGTGTGCTATTGCCGGTGCAGTTGCTGCTCTATCTCACAAGGGCATTAGCAGATGATCCTGTGGCTGCCCCACTCTTGCAGCTCATCAACGTTACTCCGACTCGCGACGGCCAGCACATTGAAGTGCGGGTCAAATGCGAGGTGCCTGCCAGCCTGGTGGGCCAGCCCCAAATCGCCATTGCTGACCGGCTGTTGACGTGCTTCAAGAGTGGACTCCTCCCGGCCCGGCGCGGCGAGTTCGATCCGAGAATGTTCACGTACCCAGGTGCGTATCGGGGCACTTTTCGGTTGCTCTTTCCGCTTGCGGACATCCCGCTGGGTCTGCAAGCTCAGCCTTCCCTCTCTATTCAGGCCGCGGGCCTGTTGCATAGTGCA